TTTTATTATTCGGTCCATTCAAAAAACCACCAAGGTCAGCGGTTAACATCTCAATCTTGCAACTGGTATAATTTAGGTAAATCCAAAGCAAATCTAATTCAGTCTTTTTCGGAAACCCACATACATTTAATTTTTTGCACCTTCTGTTGCAATCGCTTAACCGTTTAATTTATGTGTTCGTGAGATACATTCATCTTCAGCCGCCGATCCAATTTCGCTTGACACATTTACTGGGGGGCGTGGGCGACTCCGGTTGGGGTAATTCACCTTGATGGCGATTTTCCACGGGGCCACGATGACTGCGCAGGCGCAACTAAACTGTAATCGAGACTCTCGCTTTCTACGCGGCTTGATACCGCGCCTTGATGACTATGAAATTGGACGATTGAGACTGAAGATTGAAGACTGAAAAGCTGGAAAACTTAAAAGCTGAAAAACTAAAGGCTGTAAACCGTAGAGCGGGTGCTGTTATCATAACCGACTAACCGAGCGACTGATTGACTGACTCCGACTCCGAATCGTTGCCAAAGTCAAACCTCTTTCACTTTGCATATTGCCGGCACTGAAATTACAATATAAATTTATATACACGGCATACGTATAGAAGAAACAATCTTTAATCAGCATTTACGCTTTCATCTTTCACATTTCTCAAAGAGTGGAAAACAACACCAGCAACAGTGCCATAAACAACAATTGTTGTTGGTCCACACACAGCAACCTGTTGACGAGTTTGTCCAGATACAGATACTCGGATACAGATACTCGCGGATAGCCGGCTATCTTCAGTGGGCTTTTGGCCAGACTTGGGCTTTGGCCACAAACTATTTTAATTTGGCGGCAAATTTGCATAGTCTGCATATCTTATGAATTTGTTCGTCTATTTGTCGTTTTTAATTTGGAATCAGAGGCCATAAACATTTACAATTTTACTCTTTCTCTTGCGGGCACAAAAGATGAAAGCAAGAGTGACATTTAAAGCGGTCCAGCCCAAAGTTGGGAACCTTTTGTGTCCACCCATTGTTGGGAATTATTTTCCAGATCTTATGCAACACCCGAACATACGTTAATTGAAGAATGGGGATCATGGATATTGTGGTTTTGGGGCTGATTTCGGAATGCCATTCACTTGATTGGGAATATCTTGGCAGGAATTGTTACTAAACTGTGGTCACAATCGAATATTTGTATGGTTTTTATTTCTGTGGGGAATATGAGTTTGTATTGTGGATTTTCTTATGATGTAAAATAGCCGCCGACAACAAAGTCCCAAAAAATAGCCTGGGAACTTGGGAAGAAATATGGTTTTTGAGTTAATGATGTATGAAGTAATCTTTGAAATAACATTATGATTTGTATTGTGGGAAAAATATTTACAGCTTCTGAAGATTTTAGTTCCACCTAATACTAAAATTTTAAAGACTTGTAAGGGGTTTTCCAGAAAGATTTTTGATTTATTTTACTTATAGATTAAAAGCATGTAAGGTTGCATTGACTAATGTATCTCACTTTAAATACAAATTAATTTAATGCGATTCTTGTTTTGTTATTACAAATTTTAGTTCCGCTGAATTATAAAGTAACCACTCCAAAAACCAACGCCCGTAATTATGATAATTGCCAACTATCTATCATTTCCTGATTCATTATTCATCCGCGCTTATTAATTAATTAATAATTTGAATGTAGAGACGCGGCATGCACTTAAGTGTAACCAAAACAAAACTGAAATAAGGCAGGGGAAGTTAGGAAACTCATCAGCAGCTCATTGCCCGCTTTTATTGATTGATAAATATTTTAAACATACTTAAAAATGTTGTAAGCCGCCATCGCCACGTGAAACACATGCCAAAAACATTCCACGGCTGTAAATTATGGGTTAGAAACCATGTTGAAAAGGCAGATTGAAAAAATATGGTCTTTAAAATTCCGACGATTTTTACATTTTAACGCCTCAACGGATTTCGCTTCGTCTAATTAATTTTGCAAAGAAATCTGCATAGATATCGTATTTTTTTTGCCTAGATTATTTATCAATTTCTATAAAATATATGTAAACAAAAAGCAAGAGAGTCAGTCTGCGGTTGCTGTTGCACATGACTTTCCTGACATTAGAAAGTAAATTGCCATGAGGCCACTTGGTCAACCATCAAAGCCATGCACTCCATCACCACCACCACAAAAACCCACAGCAACATTTATAAAACTTTATTATATAGTTTCGTATTGAACCTGATGAAATGCAAGTGGAGGAGGACTGGGATGATGATATTGCCGAGGTTGTGGAAGGCAAACAATTGAAAGTCAGGCCGGCAAAGTGCTTTGGCTTTATTATTATTAATTGGATTCGACGGGAGGAAAGTCCATTGTCTGACCCTGAGACTCGTTTCCCTGTACTTCGAATTTTTATTTTTTGCAATTTTCCAATCGGAAATGCAATTTTCTCTATTGAAACTCGAATGTCCACGCTTTGAAGCGGTTCCCTGACAATCTAATCTTATCGAAATGGGCTCGTTAATTTCTATTTTTCAGCGGGCAAAGTGCACAACACCATGTGTATAGGAAAGTAGAATCCCATTCACTTTGGAAACGAATGTCGGATCACCATTTAGCGACTCAAAATTGACGTTTGGCTCGTCCGGTGATTCATTCTGCGATAAGGCAATTTGATTTTATTCTTTTTCGTTTTTTGATTGTACGCACACCCATAAAGTCCGCAAAAATAAACCAATTTGAACACATATTAACCAGAATCAAGATGAGGAAATACATTATTCGTTATTTATTTTAACAAAAGAGGTCATTCACTTTGAGTTTCCGTAATACCCATTATTTACAGCCCATTTATTACTTCCTTTCGCTAAATGACTACTAAAGGGTTCATTACTTGAGTGGCAAATATAAAAGAGCACATTATTCGTACATTATTATTGGTATATAACTATAAATATTAACTAATAACTACGGATTCCAAAGTCTTTTAATTGATTTGCAAATTGGGTTCATATATTTGGTAATAAGTTTTTAATTATGTTTTGATATAACAGCCTTATTTTTTTAATAAGCAATCTAAATCCCATAAGAATTGATTTCGATTGCAATCTAAATCCCATAAGAATTGATTTCGATTGCTTATCTCGGGCATATGTTAAATAAATTTCAGCAGCTTTAAAGCCTAATGATTCACAGATGTTGGATGCTCTGCTGATCCTCAGTGAACTTTCAAATTGTAACGCTCGCAAACACATTCAATAACGCTCAATCAAATGCACATGTTCTCAGAGAAAAAAGCGTTACGGCTGTCTCATAAATCAAGCATTAATAAAACCTAAATTTGCGCAAATTCGACAGCATTTGCAGATGGCAGAGGAATTCTTTTCATTTGAAGTTCTTTGCTAAATGTCAATTAATTATTAGCTGGAACCGCCGCCTGCCTGCCTTGAAGCATGAAATTTATTATTTAATTATTAAGTCGTGTCTCGTCCGCGTTGGAATTTTGGGTTGAATTTGCCTAAAACTCCACTCCTGTCTGCCTTCCCCTAAAAAGCTATCTCTACTTGCCTCATTTCCTGCGAAAGTGATGGACAACCCAGCCAGAGTCAAAAACACATCATAATGATATCATGCTGGGTTTTTAAGCTCATCTCTTATTTTCGTGTGCAGCCTTTTTTTGTACTATTTTTTTTGTTTTTGCTTATTTCCGAAAACTGTGTTCTGGTTGTCTGACCCGCTAACTTCACTAACCTGTGGTTAGGTCAAGAGTTTAATGCGGAACCAACACAATGGAGGGGCAAAAAAAAGTAACGATCAAATGTCGGTAATTCATGGGATGTATGAATCACCTGGAAGTTGTATAACTTATTTCTCTCCGGTAGAAATAATTCAGGTGGTAAACTTTAATTATAAAGGTGAAGACCGGAGAATGTGCATTTTTTTTTAGAATGGGGAAAAACAAATTGTTAAATACTTTATAACAACTAAGAAATATACAATTTTTTAAGGGTTTAAATATTACATTCAGAAATCCCAATATATTAAAATCTTAAAAATTATTTTGCGAAAGTATAAATATACAAAACTATAACTGGCTCTATAAAAAAATTCTGGAATTTGAAAAACATTAGCATACAGTGCTGTGTTATCTCAACGCAAAAATCAAGTTGATTGCAATAATGTTTGCCTCCCCTGGTGAAGTATTTATTGTGGGTATGGGTATTTAAAGTTTGGGTGTACCAACCGGTTGGTCAGTCAGTCACGCTTAATAAACTGCAAAGTGGAATTGCTGGGCCATGATATGGTGGTTGGCACCCCCTTTTTGCCCCTTTCCTACCCCCTTTTTCCATGGCTTTATTGTCGCAGCTTGTAATCAAAAGCCGGCCGGTCAGCAAATCAAACCGAAAGCCGACTCGACTAGCGGCGCTGAGTCAACTATTTTTTATTTAGTTGAAAATTGCATTTAATTGTTTAACAAAATGCCAGCCGCGTTATGTGGCTTATAGAGATATGAGTTATAATACAATTGCTCGAGTTGTCCATTGACAATTTTCCGGCGAGCAGCGGACCGACCGATCGTTCCACTCCCCCTGCCCCCTACCCCTCCCCTTTCAGTCACCTGTCCCAGTCCCGCTCCCAATACCGCTCCCCGATCTGTCTGTCTGCACAACAAGTTTATGATTGCTGAACCCGTTTCCAAGTTTTGTTATTTGTTATTTCTGTTACAATTTCTGCTGTATTTTTTCTGCTCTTTTTTTTGTATGCTTTGGGTTTGGCCATCAAGTGCGGAAGTTGCAGAGCCAAGAAAATAGAGACTCGAAATGTTTGCATATTTTAAAATGCAATTGGAAAGGTGAACAATTTCTGCTGTTGTTTGGCTTTCTGCTTAATTGCAATTGACTCGCTTATGATTTCCCGCTAACTGTAACCGAATTTATTGATTGCACTTGTAGCCTTTTATTACAATATATTTACAATATTTAATCTCCGTTTTGTTTATTCAACAGCCTTCGACAACAACCATCATCATCATCATCATCACACGCCGCTTGTCGTTTCGCATAGAAAGGTGAGTCCTCCATGGTTTGAATTTGAATACAAGTATTTTCCTGTTTTTGAATCGTGTACCCGGGGATTTAATGGCTCGTAAAGCCTTTAGATACCTTTCACGTGTCCGCCGATTGGTGACTATTAACTGCCCTCAGATTACAGATTACAATTATTGCCCGTAAAGCTAACTCAAATGAGTTCATTTCGTTGGCTTGTTGCTGTCTTGTTACGGTTCCGGCTCTGACTTAAATTAATCTCTAATGATTTATGATAAAAGAAATGGGTTCTTGTCCGGCAGAAGTGATTTCAAATCAAAGAAGCGGAAGACTTGAAACAAGAACAGATATATATTGAGTCGTTAAGCGCTTTGAGTGTCGCATAAAAGTCGGACTCTTAACTGCATTGCACTAATTAAAGCTTAGCTCTTAATCATTGGTTTATAATAAGGTTTGGTAGTATTCTCACGGAATAGCTAGCTCTCTTTTTATAAACCTGTTAGAAAGAAATTAATTTTAGCAGAAATGTTAATAAAAACTGAAACTGGAAAAGAAGATAAATCAGTTAGCTTGCGAATAAACAATAGTTATTAGCGCACAGAAAAAGACATAATCCTAAAAAGGTCATTATTTTAGGACTTTAAAAAAATCTTTTCTGATGAGTTCTAAAAGTCTACACCGATTTATTGGTTATCTCTATTCCGCAATCGACCGATTCTCTGCCCTCCAAGCTTCTCCACTCCTCTTTTCAATCAGTCCAAAAGAAATCTCCCACATGAACACCTATCTTGAAAGGCCCGAAGCTGACATTAAATTAAACAGGCCATAAAACAAAATGAGCTACAACAAGTAAGACAAGCTCCCTAGCATAATGTGTGAAAGTGTTGGCGGCCCAACAGCAACATCAACGATTTTATGGCAATTTTAGCAGATGTTCAACACACAGCCGCACATGCGAAAGTGTTTTCCTAAAAAATAAAAAAAAAAAGCACACGAAGAATGCATTTTAAGGTTTCAGTTCCCATAGGCCAGAAAAAAAGAAACATCCGAAAAGCTACAGAAAACTTAAAAACCGAGGCAAAACAGCCGCGGAAATGCGCAGGCGCATCGGAGGAGAATTCACAAGACGATCGTTAGTAACCCTGTTTGGGGGCAGGCTTGAATCGCTGGCAAGGTAATTAAAAGCACCACCAACAGCAACAACAACAACAACAGCAACAACAACAGCAGCAACAACAACAGCAACAACATACAACTGCAGCAACAACATAGGGCAACATAGCCAACTGCATTTAGGCCCAAGAAGATCGTAACATGGAAGCGCCAAGTTTCTCCACGCCTGAATATTTTTAATGTATCTTTTAGTTTGCCTCGTTGTTATTTTCCCCTGCCATATAGATGCCGTTTTCAATTAAGTGTTGCTGCCGTAATGGGTGTGTGTGAGAAATATGCATGTTTCACCGCTCAATGGAGGCCGCTCCTTAGATACTCATTCTCCACTCATCCCAAATCGCACAAGGCAATTCCATTGTCTCCGGGGTTCATGAGAAATTTCCGAATGCATTCTTACCGCCTCGCTGGGGTTACCTTAAAATTCTTATAATTTACGGTCGTACAAGACCTTATTTAAGTCGGATAGCACACATTCTTTCATAAATATGAATAGAATTGAGGGGATTTTTTATACGAGGTATTTGTTTATGAAAAGAATGAGTTACAGTTGCTAAGCAACATGTTTACATAAACAACAGTAAACTTATTATATTATTCATGTTTTTAAAAATATTTAGAATAGTCAACTGATATAAAATATGAATAAGATTCTATAAATTAAAGAACAGTACATAAAGAACAGTATTTAATTCAAAATAAAGCCAAAAGCATGCTTTTTAAAAGATTTGTTTGTATTTTGGTCTTGTAGAACCATAAAATAATTACGATTATCCGCATGGCATAAGCAATTATTTCAATTACAGTTTCTTGCTCATTTAAAATCCACAATTTAATATTTTCTTCTCTCTATTATTTACACTAGTTCCTAGTAAATGGCATGTAAAAGCTTTTACTATTTCAAAGTCTACTAAAGTTGGGAAGTATTAGCTAGGGTTCGAAAACGAAACGCAATAAATATAGTAAATATTTACCAATTAACTCGGCCACCCCATCGTGAGTCCCCTAAATGGCGATCCACTAAATCAAGAGGCACGTCAGCGACCGAAACGAGCTGAAATTGGACATTATTATACAACAATTGCAAAAATTATCCAAGGGGTGGTGGGTTGTCGCTGGTAAGGTCAGTCCTCCCCCTCAAAAAAAAATGGGCGTTAAAAGTGCGACTGCAGCAATGCGCAAAAATGTTCATTTGTTTGTTTAAGGCCCCCGACTACAATTGAAATTGAGTGGAAAAAACAATTGCCGGAGACCAAAGACTTGAGAGTTAAGAGTGACAGCGCGTGCAGTGACATTTTCCGCTCGAAACTGCACTTTAAGCATGTTTGACCTTTGTTTTGGGACAGACCCGCGACTTGGGCCGCAGTCATTCCCATAGCCATTTGCTATAGCAATTCCAAAAGCCATGGCGATATGCCCAAGTTGGGGTTATGCAATTGCCCAAAGGACCGACAAGCGATGCGGAACTTATGGCGCCTATGCCTATCATATGACAAAGCAGACATCATCATTGCATATTATGCAAAGTACGAAAATTGATGATCACATATACTCGCTGCGCGCTGAAGATAGAAAAGAGATATGTTTATGGATACAAATTGCAGCTGGCAGGCAGCCCCACTAACCGCAGAAGTCTTCATCGCTTTTCCGGACTCGTGATCTGCAACTAACTGGCTGACTAGTTAAAAAGACTGACTAACTGACTAGCTGACTGAATGACTAGCTGACTGAATGACAGGCTGTCTGCCTTTCGGGGATGCGGACTAGGAAGTCGGTGGCGAATTTCTGCGGTCTACCCAGCCCACTAAGGTCGCCTAGAAATTTGTAATCCATATCCCAGATAGTGAGTCAATCTATGATGCGCTTCGCCACACTCCACTGCGTGTACGGGGGAAAAACAGAGCAAAATGACTAAATCGAACCTTCAAAGTACGTACCCCCATCCCATCAATAAGTTCGAATTTAAGGGCTTGGCCAGCTCCATTTGTTGCGCTTGCATTGCCATAAATAGCATTTCGTAGAGTTTGACGGGAAGGGAACCTAAAATTTACAATGCATAGGGGGCATTTCTGTAATTGGTTTATGGGTTTCCGATATTATTTGGGTGCGCCGACTACCCGAGGGAATCCAAGTCGGAATCGGTGGCTTTGACGGCTTTTGAGGCCGCCAAATAGGATTACTTCTCTTGACAGGCGGGTTTAATATCTCTTTTTTTGGCTCTCTAATTTCCTTTAATTGGGTTATAGGGGCAAATTGCAAAATACTCGAAATAGGGCAGGGCATAATTAAGCTTGATTGGGAGAAGTTAATGATGCCGGAAGACGAATTCGGATAAAGGCGCATTCATTTTCAATCAAGGTTGTTAATCATAAAGGTCAAATTATGTAATTTCACAAGAAGCTTGAACATTTTGTAAATATCACTTACATTTGTAACAATGTTATGACTACTTAAAAATATAAAATTTTGTTCTTAAAATATATTAAATTGAATATTTAGTACTTCTTCACATTAACATAGACGGTTATGATTTGGAACTATAAATATTTCATAAAAAGTTACATACTACTATTAAATATAATTGACTTAATTGTACATTCTTTGTAATTGTACTTCTAATTAAACCTTTAGCTTTACGTGATACAAATAAAAGTAGCTCTACTCAGACAACAAAACCTAGTAATTTTGTATGTCACTCAAGGTTGTTATCTGGTGACTAATTAAACATCACATTTTTTAATTCACTTAGTTTGCACAAGGTTGTGTAATATTTTTAATACGTAGCTTTATGCCTTAGATATTAATATCTGTATCTTTTTTAACCTCCACAGCTAATCTTCCCTTCTCAATTCATTACACCAAACAAACAATTATTTCATTATGAAAACCCCTTTTTGGTTGTCATTGCTAAAAGTCTCGTGCAAAGAGTTTTCATATCTCCAAAATAGATAACTACACGATGTGCAGAAGCCGTGGCCTAAATTTTCGTAGATATCGGGCGAGACACAGTGGTAGGCCAGTGTAATGGGATTCGTAGCAGACTTCAAATTTATTTTCAATTGGCTAGAAAATGAGGTAACGTCTGGCCATCGATAGGGATAAATGTTTCAACAGTGAAGTCACAGCCCGTCGATGAGCAATTACCAATGCAAACTGCGGTGTGAGATCGAGGTCTTTTAAGATATTTGAGTACTTCGAGCAAATATTAACTCCCAAAAGCGTGCACAATTATTTACAGTAAATATTTTGCATGAAATAAGGCTCTCAGGTTCCCTTCTTTTCCGGCTTCAACTCTGGGCTAAAAAATAAAAAAAAAACCAACGAAATAAGTCATCGCTTTTTCAGAGCGTGAACAGCTGGCCTACCTGTTCCATTTAACTGGCCCGCCCGTACTTTTATGGGTTCAGTTCGTCCCGGTGTAGTCGTACCTTATGCTCCAGTAGCAACAACAGCAGCAGCAACATCATCAGCAGCAGCAACAGCAACGCCAGCAACAAGCAACAGTTGTTGCCACTTCCACTTGCAACTTTGGTTGCTGCTGCCGCCGTTGGCTAGCTCCAAAAACAATGAGTCGCCTCTGGATGGCGACTTGGTTGAGTGCCTCGCCGTTTGTTTTATGCTTCGTCTGGTTCTCTGGTTTTGGCTCTGGTTCTCTGACTCCGTCTAAAGCTACGACTCTGGATCTGACTCGCTGCTATGGCTACGCATTTATAATAGGCGAAACATGGCACAGTGTAACAAAATTATTTAACATGTATATATTTTGATTTTGAGCATGGAAAAATTCAAGTATTTAAGACGTAGTCAACCTTATTATATTAAGCAGCGTTTGTATTTGATTGTATTTGTATGA